AAACTAACATATTTATTTATCTATTTTTGTTATAGTTGGTTATACAACTGATGATTTACGATTCATCTGGCAGTCAGGGGATCCTGTTCAGTTAGAAAAAATTGCCTTGCCTCAATTTGATATTAAAAAGGAGGATATTGAATATGGTAACTGTACAAAATACTATAAAGGCACTGGTAAGTAATAGTCACTAAATTAAATACAACTAAGTCCTATTTCAAAGATTCATTTTAATTAATATATGCTAAGGGAAGAGTAGAAGAAAACTAGTTAAAAAATAAGGTTAGTATAAGTAGTTTATCCTTACATTCATATGTGTAAGTTTTTCACAGAATGACATTTCACTAAAATTTTTTGAACTTTTTTAATAACTGGATAGATATGCTTTTCTTTATGTAATTCTAGTAGTATAGAAGTTTACAATTTTTTATTTTAGCAATGCAAACTCTCCCAGGCAATGATTTTCTTAGATGCTGCCAAAAAATTCTACTTTGGACAAGATTCAATTTGGGGCTGAACATTTAGATATGAACAATATAATCCATTTATATTCATCCATTGTCTTTTGGGTAGTTTTTAGATTGTGTTGGCCTATATTCTTAGTTTTAAAAAGCATTGATCTTTGTGCTATGCAGGAAGCAATAACAGTGTGAAATAATCGGAAAATATCCCCTGTACAGTCTTCTTGGCTTAGGTCATGAAACAGCCAATTATGAAAAGCACTAAAAATTAAACTCATTCATTAAATTACATTGAGCTTTTGCAAAAAATACAGCGCTCACTACTCAATACTGTCATAATATGATTAGTGTTTAGTCTTTCAGTCTCTCCTGGTAGTTATTGGTTATTGAGGTTTTAGATATTGAATATAGTATTATTTAACTTAGCAATATAAATAAAAAGATCATTAAATTTTGATCATTATATTAATAGTAATAATCAGTTCATCTTGTAAATTATCACACAATTCTAATTCTGTCCCAGGAAATAAATCATGACAAAAGATATCTAAGAATAGATATAATTAAAGTTTAACTTTATTGCAACATTTATGTTGAATTGCAATAATAAATATGTATATAGTATAAGTGTGTAGAATTTAGGGAGATCAGATGTTTCAACTAGGATGCTGCCATCATGACATTATCAAGGGCAAAATATAATTTAAAATATTCCCATTGATATTAAAGTAAGAGGCAGAATGATCGCATATTTACAGTGTTGTAATAAAGACAACACTAGGCAACTTGGGTATAAAATATGTATAAGCATCTCTTGTTGACTTTCAAATATATTAACAGATTCTATAATATTGATATATAAGTAGTCCTTTCTCTTAGAGCTTATAGTATATTAGGATGAGGGAGATAATAATCAAATATATTGTTAACCAATTCTCAAGTTTTTTAAAAATAAAAACAGCTCTTAAAAATTTGACCATCAAAGTATTCAATGAAGAGGTCACAGATACATAGATTGTTAGATATGGACGTGATCTTACTGATAATTCTGAGCCAGCTCCTTTACTTAACACATAAAATAACTGAAATGCAGAGTGACTAAATGACTTATTGAATGTCACCAGGCAAGTTAGTGTCAGCCATGGGACTGGGACTAGGCGTAGTATTTTTTTTCCCTTTTGTACTCCTGCAAATTAAGAAGACTACAGTTTTTAGGGATGTTTATAACTCATCCGATAATGAAAAGAATAATCTTGGAAACCAAGAAAAATCCTTTTGGGATTGTTGTATAAGAAGACATTTAGTAGATACCTTTTTGAATTCTTGCTATACTAGGCATTATTTTAAGTGCTTTGCAGGAATTATATAATTTAATCCTCACAACCATTCTGTGAGTTAACTATTTCTATTATCTCTATTTCACACATTAGGCTAATGAAGCAAAGAGATTTGCCCAAGGTCAGACTGTTTCTCAGTGACGTGCTGGTGTAGTGACTCTGATATTGTTATACTACCTGTGGACTCCTATTGTACTTTGAAAATAGTTACCTGCATCCAGATTCTATGCTTAACATTTCAAAATGAATAGTGTCTAAATTGTTTTGGAAAATATGAAAGAGACCCTGATGAAGATTTAACTTCATCCAGAGATGAAAATAAAATGAGAAATTTTATTTGTAATTTTAGGTAATAGCATAAAGTTATGTAATAGCATTGAAAATCCTGGGATGGGGGTTCATTTTTTTTTTTTTTTTTTTTTTTTTACTTATAAGCCCTACTTTTAACAATCTCTATTTGGGGACTCAGTCGCAAATAAAAGACAGGTCCTTTCACTTTACAGAGCCATTATCCAATGTGGTAAACAAGTAAACAAAGTAAATATAGTTCATTTTAGTTCTTAGAAGGAAATAAAATGTGCCGTAATAGAGAGAATTTGGGGGATTACTCAAGAGTTATAAGCTTTTTTTGTGTGGTATTTTTTGAATCATAAATAAGTCACTGAAATCTCATTAGCTACAGAAAATAACAACAAAAAAACTTTTGACTAACAACATTTTTTGGCACTTATACTATGTTTCAGGTAATTCGTCAGCATTTATATAAACCACACATATGAATATAAGTAAAACATATTTAATGTTTGAATAATATTTAGAAATCTATTTAGAAAAACAGGACAGTGAAAATAGATGGAATGCTTAACAATGTAGAATGGTGGGAAAGA